TCCATGTCCCTACAAACGACACAGCAAATCCAATATTTCAACTGCTGTCAGTCACACTGTGGTCCTGAGGCAGTCTGCAGTTTCTCCCTGCACATATATCTAATGTCCAGAAGCTCCAGGGTAGGCGCAGCCCCAGAAATGCTCCTACCACCCATACACGCAGGGGCACAGTGGCGTGAGGGCCCTCTGGACCTGTGGCCTTATTACCATGGGATGCATCCCGCAGTGCAGGCCCCAGGAGGATGGAGGAAGTGGAAGAGAACTGAGGTTTCAAATGTAGGCAGCCAGAGGCTGGGCAGTAGAATTCTTGCAACCATCAGATATAAGACAGCAAGTGGAGGATGCGGTTCCCATCGAGGCCTAATAATCACAGCTGGAGCTCTCACCTGCCAGAGCCACGATCATGGTGCTTCTACAATTACTATGCACTGTGCACTTTTCGGGCCTGTCTTGGATCCTGCAGCCAGTACTGGAGCGATTTTAGTTTCCAGATGTGTGCCGCACTTGTTTGTATGTTGTATTAAACAGCCCTACCTGAGGGCAGGAGGCTCTCTGTGCCTGGTGAACAGCACAGGGCCTGGTCCGCAGCAGATGCTCCACTAATAATTGTAAGACTGGCGAATGAATGAAAAATGCATTGAAATGAATCTCTGATTTTTCATTTTCCAAATGCCATCCATATAGCTTTGTTTTCGCTACAGCAAAAGGGGCCATAGCAATAAAGATAGAATCACTGGACCATTCTCTTCCCACCTACTACCTTCTCTTCCGGAGGGCTGATGCAGGGTTAGAAATGAGAATGTAAGGCCGGTGCGGTGGCTCATGCCTTTAATCCCAGCACTCTGGGGAGCCAAGGCGGGAGGATCACCTGAGGTCAGGAGTTCGAGACCAGCCTGGCCAACATGGTGAAACCCCATCTCTACTAAAAATACACAAATTAGCTGGGCGTGGTGGCGGTCACCAGTAATCCCAGCTACTCTGGAGGCTCAGGCAGAAGAATCCCTTGAACCTGGGAGGTGGAGGCTGCAGTGAGCTGAGATCGTGCAACTGGATTCCAGCCTGGGTGACAGAGTGAGACTCCGTCTCAAAATAAAGGGAGAAAAGAGAATGTGGAAGGGAACAGATTCCAGTATCACACCTTACTCGCCTTGCTGAAGTGTCTGTGTTCTAGGTTAAATAAATCCCTTTTTAGTCTTCTTTGGAGTTTCCTGAGGTCCCTACGGGATTTTTTTCTTTTTTAACAGAAGGCTTGGTTGTTGCAAAAGCTCTTTGCGTGCTTTTGTTCCCTTTCAGCGAAACCTCTATTTGGCAATGGAACTGAAGTTTCCTCACAGGCTTCGGTTACAGACAGGGTCTTACTCCGTCCCAAGTCTCCTTTGGGAGCAGTTTTCTAAGAGTTGTGACTGTGCAGACCCGGGGCTTGCATAAGGCCACCGAGACTCTGGATTCAGGGATGGAAATTTTCCTTTTAAAATTAGGTAGGGGAGTTTGGACCAGGATTTTTATTTGGATAGCCTAATTCTTGGAAATGCAGCTGGTGTCTCTTGGGAGAGTCCAGAAAAACTTTCATGCAGAACTTCAGGCACTTATTCCTCATGAGCCTTGATGGGGAGAGGTCGCCACACAAAGTGCTGTGACTGGGACTTCGGGGACCACAAAGGGGCTCTTTCATTCTGCACAGGCCGGGTTCCCATGCAGGTGGCCCGCTCAGTTGCCCTGCAGACATCTCCAAGTCTGTGCTGTTGTGAGATTCTTCCTCAGGGCAAATCAAAATCTCTGCTGATGTTTAAGATCGTTTAGTTTTTACTGGAGAAGCGGAACAACTTTTTATCTTCTGCCTAATCTCCCTTTCTGAATGGAAAGACTCATCTAAGTCACTGTGAAATGTTTTCTTTCTCAAGCAATTCTTTGAGCTTGTGTGCACTGGCGTGGCGATAACCACGGGCGGGAGGAGTACTGAGGGGCGTTTGGAGTCTCCGGCAGGCTGACCACACACTCTGGGTTATTAGAGGCTCTTTCCTGACTACATGTGTCATCTAGGCCGGGAGAGCCCAGGGAAAAGTTCCGGGGCTTCAAGCCTGCTGTACAGAGGGAGAAACTGAGGACCAGGTCTGAGCCTAGCCCAGCCCAGCTGACGGGTCCTGTGGGTGGCGGGAAGTGAGGTGTCGCTTGGTATCTGGGTCCTCTGAGGTCCACAGGCAGCTGGCATCGCTCCTTAGCCTCCATTCTGTGTGTGACCTGGCAGTATCAGTGGTGCTTTCTGGACAAAGAGAGTCTGAGCTGTGTCATCAGCCTGGGCAGAAACGACGCCAGATGATCAGCAAAGGGCCTGCTTTGATCTTTAGCGTGGGAGGAGGAGGGTCTGATGAAGTAGGGACAGTCCTCGTCTGGGCTGTGGCTGGTGGGGTGAGCCCGGTCCTGGGAGCTCAGGGGGACATGGTGAGCGGGGCAGGCACATCATTTGGGGGGCTTCGTGCAAAACAAAAATGCAGGGCTGCATGTTCAAAAGTCATGAAGAGTTCCAGACAGCAACAGCAGAGCCGTAAGCCGAGCGTGGGGCTTTCCTGAGAAAGGGCCTGTGTGCCTGCGTGGGAGCAAGGTTGGGGCATGGGTGACACTCCCACCTGTGGACTGTCTCTCTCCACGCTCTGCACCCTCCCCGGGGAACCTCATACATTCTTCTATTTGGAAATCCTATTACCTGAAAATCAACGAAAACCTCGAATGCACCATCTGATCCCTCCTCCCATGTCCTCCAGCCATCAAGATGGAATTGCAATCACATTCCTTTCTCCACCACCGTTCACCCCTGGTGGCTGCAGCCTTGCTGCAGCGCCAGGCCTCTCACTTGGGCCATACCCAGGCTTCCTAATGAAACTCTCTGTCTCACCCGGACCCTAATATTCATCCCCTAACAGCTGCCAGCGTGCTCCCCATCTGCCTCCTGCACATGTGTGACCCACCCTGTCCACTGCCCTTGGGGTGGAGCCCAGCCTCTGCAGGATGGCAGTGCGCTGTCTTCTGTACCTGGCACACTCACCTCCCCACCGTCCTCAGCATCATCTCCTCCCGGAGCACACTGGGCTGTCCCAGGCACCCACTCCACAGGCGCTTTCCAACAGCCACTGAGCAGGTTCCGCTTTAGACTTTCACTGCGAAGAATGCTTCGGTGGGAGGAGGGTGGAAAAGAAACCCTCGTGGGACTGTAACGAGGTGGGTGCCTGGGTTAGAGATGTGCAGATGGGGGGGGTCTCCAGCCCAACCTGAGGCCGGAGGTCAGGGGATGGAAAGTCAGGAGGGGCTTCCTTTGTCAGGGCCGAGGGCATGCGGATGGGTAGGAAGTGGTCACTTAAGAGGAGCAGAAGGAAAGGACTGCTTCCGGCCCTGTGCCTTTTCCTGAGCTGTCCTTCAGCCGGGGACACCCCGACACTGCCTTGGCCTGGCTGCCCTGGAGACCTGGTGGTCGAGTCCCCTCTCTGCGGAGTCTTTCCTGGTACCCACAAGCCTGCATGTCGATCTCAGCCTGACTCATCCAGCGTCAGGTCCTGCTGTTCCGCTGCTGTGCTGTCTTCACGGCTGCATCCCAGGAGCATGGCTATGCCGCCTCCAGGAATCCTTCAACCACAGCAGAGCTGGGGTTGGGAGAGCAGGGACTTTCCCGGGATGCTCTACAGCAGGGCCAGGCCTCCAATCTCACCCACACGTCTACAGATAATTTGTCAAAAGACGGTTTCCCATTTTCAAGGGATTATTTGCCTCCTTCTCCTTCCTTTGCTCTTGGATCCTCTCCAGAAAAGAAAGGATCTGACTTCCTGAATCCCCCAAGGAGTTCGTATGAATTCAGACTTCACTATGAAGTCAGAATTGGGCTTGGACAAAGGATGGATCTGGACTAAGTTCCCAGCAGCCCTTGTGGACCTTGGAGCAGGGAGAGAGACCGTGAACACACCTGGCCCCCTTACAGTGGATGCATGGGGCGGCCATGACAAAGCAACGCAGACCAGATGCTTCAACCACAGAAAGGCCTTGTCTGCAGTCATGGAGGCTGGAAGTCCAAGGTCAAGGTGTTGGTGGGGTTGGTTCCTTCCAGAGGGCTGCTGGGACGGGCTGTCTTCTCCCTGTGTCTTCACACTGTCTTCCTTCTGGGCGTGTGTGTCCACATGTCCCACTCTGACAAGGACACCGGTCATTGGATGAAGGCCCACTCTCACGACCTCGTTTTGGCTTGATGACCTCCGTAAAAACTCTATCTCCAAATAAGGTCATGCTCTGAGGTCCTGGTGGGTAGGACTCCAACATATGAGTTTTTGGAGGTAGGGGGCACATTCAACCATAATAGGGTCATGTGGCCTTTTCTGACTGTCCATCATCTGCACCCCAAGATGTGAGTTTGGGTGAGAAGCTGAGAAGCCAGCCACCTCCCAGCTGCTCTGCAGCAATGAATGAGAAATTTCGTGCAGCACTTTGGCTGCAGACAGATGCACCTGTGTGGGGCACGGAGAGGCTTGGGACCACCTGTTGTGAAGATGTGGCCACTGCAGGATTCCCTCTCATTTTCTGGGACTGCAGTGGCCCTAGCACCTGCATGGGGCCCAGTGCTGGGCCAGAGGGGCAATGAGACATCATGTTTCACGGGGCAAGTGGGCGGTCCAGCAGCACTCGCTCTGCAGACACCTACACCCAGGCATGACGGGCCCTGTGGCTCCTGGATTTTTCTGGCATCCATCAATTCCTTTTCTTTTCTCCAGGTCCTCCTCGCCCAGGCAAATTCTGCCTGACTGCTGTTTCCTATTTCCAGGCCTTTCCTACAGAGGTCTCTCCAGCACTCACCGCCTCTCAGTCTCAGGCTTCCTGCTCTGAGAGCTCCTCTCTGGCACAGTGGAAAGGGCGTGAGCTTTGGGGCCGGTCAGACCCAGGGTCAAACTCTGATTCACTAGATATATGGCCTTACGGAAGTTATTCAAACTCTCAAGGTCTTAATCTTTTCTTCTCTAAAACAGGCTAAAACAAGCTACTGCACGGACTGGTTCAGAGGATGAAAGGAGCTAATGAAATGCACGGCAGGTGCCTCCTGACAGCATGCCCCAGCGAGGGTGAGCTTCTGCCGTGGGAGCCTTCGGACCAGAGTCTTCAGGCGTGCAGCGGGCTGTAGGTGAGCCTGGCCTGGCTGGTGATGACGGGAGCTGGACTTCACCGTGGGCCAGCAGTGCCACATGCTGTCACTTCTGGATGTTCAGCTCCCCCGGGGGTGCAGGACCACCCAGTTGGGGGGGCAAGAGGCCTGGGCCCACCTCACATTCACCCTTCAGATGTTCCCCTCGTGTGCTAAGGGCCTGGCTCCTTTCCCCTCCCCGGTAGTTCTGCGCATAAGACCTGAAGAAGGTGTTTAGGGCACTGTGTGTGTTTCCTTCTCTTGTTATTCCCACAGGGAACTTATCCTCTGATTATGGAAACCTGGCCATTGTTTCTGGGTCTGTTTCAAGCTTTTCACTTCCCTGCACTTTGAGGAGGGTGCTTGTCCCACTCAGTACTCAGCACCCAGCCTTGTCCCTGTTAGAAAGGGCTCAGAGGAGGCCTTTCCCAGGTGCTTCCCTTTCTTGCCCAGTCCAGACCCCTAACTGAGAAGCTGTTGCTATGGAAATGGTGACCAGAAAAGCAAGATGGTGAGGAGGCTGACACAGGGTTCGGCTAGACCATTCTCAGAGGTGGTTTGGTTTGCTCTTATTTTATGTAGCTCTGTTTTTGGTGGAGAAACACAGCTCGTATTCCCCGTTGCTACTGTTCCCCATGGAGCAGTCTCACCCCATACATGAGTTTTGATACGAGTTTTCTCTAGTGGAAGCCGTGGGTCATTTTTAGCTGGCTGGTTTTGGGAGCCTTTGATCAGGCCCTTGGAATCTTTAAGGAGAAACAGGAGCCGGCACGGCTGGGCTGAATTTGACTTAAAATTGGAAACACGGGAGTCAGAGGCGAGCTTTATATAGTCTGGGAGTGCAGGAGCCCCAAGACCTGATTTATGAGGGAGCTCAGTGAAAGCACATGGTAATATTTATAAATTCCTTCCCCCTGCGATGAATGGAATGTTGTTTTGAGCTGCAGTCAGATAGCACCTTTTTGGGGGATGAAGACAGGTTGTTTAAATTTGGTGATTCAATGAATGGAAGGAAAGGGAGATAGCAGTCAGGCAACGGCCTCGAGTCTCTGCCACAGAGCCCAGGGCGGGAAGAGAGCTCGGCCCGTGGGGCTGGATTCCTCTGGGGAACTCTGCATGTCCTTTTGGGTGGCTTCTTCCTCCTGCTCCAGCAACCACGCCTCCCCTTGCCCACGTTCAACAGGCGAGCACCCACCCCTGGCAGCTAGAGTGACCACTTTTTACCAGGAAAAAAGTTGACGTGACTTGTGGGACAGGCTCTTTGGAGGTGCTGACCAGGGTGGGAAGGAAGAAGGGAAGATAAGATAAAGGGAGATGGGGAGGAGGCTGAAGACAGGCCTGGGTGTGCCCCGGTAGCCCTGGATCCTGAGGCTGTCGTGTGAGAGGACACTCGCTGCCATGGGTAAACTGAGTCAGAGTAGCCGATGCCATGCCGTGGAGGTCAGCAATGCTAGCCCAGTGAGATGCATCCATGCTGTGGGTTTGGCATCTGCTGGTGAGGGCAGGGGATACCCTGGGCATCACACTCCTTGAAGCAGAAGAAGCAGCGTCCCCCTCTGGCCTGGCCTTCCTTACCCCACGCAGAAGGTTGGGAGGGGCAGAGCTATGTGACAGCAGGCTGCACTCACTGTGGTGAGCGCTGGTGACCCAGCTTCAAAGAGAAGGGATGACAAGATGTTACTAACAATCATATTCAGGACTGGCACAGTGGCTCGTGACTGTAATCCCAGTACTTTGGGAGGCTGAGGCAGGAGGATCACTTGAGATCTGGAGTTTGGGCAAGACAGGGCAATGGAGACACCTCATCTCTGCAATTTTTTCTTTAGTGGGTCCTGGTGGTATGCATCAGTCCAAGCTAATTAGAGGTTTAGGTGGGGAGGTTGAGGCTCGGTGAGCTGTGATTGCACCATTGCACGCCAGCCTGGGCAACAGAGCAAGATCCAATCTCAAAAAAAATTTGAATTTGAACACCAAGGGGGAGGGGAAGGGTCATTCACCTTTGCCACAGGACTCACTTGGACCTTGCTGCCTCAGGCTTCTGTCTGTGGAAAGGAGACCCTTCCATTTACTACTCTGCTTCTGAGGACCGCCCACAGGGAGGATAGGAGGCTGCTGGTGCGAAGCTGAGTGCAGGCAGGGTGTTTCCTCTGCCCCAGCCAGTGCCTGCCTGAGCACAGAGAGCTCTTGGTGAAAGGCTCCCAGCACCTGCGAAACCCAGGCCAGGTGGTTCCGTAATGACCGGTGTGTGGGGTTGCAAGAAGATCTGCTCTGGCAGAATCACCGGGAGGCTGGGAGGAAAGCAAATAGACACTGCCGTGCCCACCCAGCCCAGGCCTTGGCAATGCCTAGGTCCCAGCCCTTGTAGGAGCTTCCTCAAGCCCCCACCTGGGAAGAGGGACTTAGATGTCAAACCTCAGCCGTGTGCATGACAGTGACTACAAAGACGGCTCGTGCAGGGAGACCTTGGTTTTTCTCCCTCCTGCAGAATTTAGGAGACTTCCTATGAAAGGCGCTCAGGCCTGACATCCTGTTCCTTTCAGTTGGTAGTCAGCAGCCATGGTGGGGGCTTCTGTCTTCCCCTCCTGCTCACAGCCCCCCATGCCCTGGAGAGCCGCTGCCCAATGACCTCTGGACACTGTCCAAAGTGTTCATGAGGCTTTTCCCAAATCTTCCCCAGGATGTGTCCAGTCAACTCCGACTCCCGAGAGTGACAGGCAGGAGTGGGGATTTGCTCAGCAAGCTGAGCCTTAGCTTGCCGTTTCTGTTTCCCTGACAGGAGGACCTGCAGTTACACCTGCCTGGGGCCCGTGCTCACCCAAAACCCCACCCTCCAGCACTCACACCTGCCTGGGGCCCGTGCTCACCCGAGACCCCACCCTCCACTCACACCTGCCCTGGGCGCTGCTCACCCGAGACCCCACCCTCCAGCATCCCCTCAGGAATCCAGCTCCAGAGCACCTGCTTTTGCTCTTTCTGCTCTCATTCTCGAGCTCTAGAGAGGGTGGCTGTCCTGGAGAGCCTTGCTGTATTAGAGCAGGAAGGAATCTTTAAAGTGATCGTAATAGTAGCTGTCATTTATTAAGCACCGACTTCAGGCCAGGTGTGTTAAGAATGTTGTTCCCACTCCTTACAAGTGCTGGAGAGGCGCACTACCGTAATTACCATGGTAGAGGTGCAGGTTGGTGGTGGACATTTAGCTTAGTGGTCGGGGCACAGACCCAGATCTGCCTCTTATCCCCTGGCAGGACTCAGGGCTGCTTTCTGAAGCCCTCTGTGTCTTCACTTCCTCGTTTGTAAGATGAGGAAGGTAATAATAGTGGCTGTCCTCCAGAGAGGTGCCGAGTGTCTATGCAGACCAAGTGCTTGCTGGTGCCCCAGCCCAGGCAGGCGGCATAAGGGTCCTGCCTCCCTGGAGGTCCCAGTGGTGCAGTGATGATGGCAAGCCAAGCTCTTTGTTTGACAAAGAAGGAAACATGGTCGCGGGGAGTGGTGTCGGGGAGAGAGGACTCATCCACTTTGGCCTTTTCTGAGGAGCCGTGTCTAGTGCCCACCCTACGGAACGTACCTCCCTCTAGAACTAAAGGGATCTCTGGCAGGGACCCTTCGACCTTCTCTGGGTGTTGCGTCTCTTGCTGGGCTAGCGCAGGACTAACGTCTCTGAACAGCTCTTACATTGCGTGTGCCCGATGTGTCCCCCCTCACCATCTTCTAGTGCCTAGCACTTCACAACCAGGAGCACAGGAGAAGAAAAGCAATCAGCAGGTTCCCTCTCAATGTGATGGACTCAGGTCTTTCAAGTCCTAGATGGACTTTTAACCGCTCTTTGCTGCCAATGTATCCTTTTTATTGGAAACAAATATTCAAGATTGCCCTCATCCAGACTTCTCTGCGAGGCACCCACCAGTATAGGAATACACTGCATTTTCAAAAGCACAAAGATGGAGATTCCTGCTTTGTTTCAACCCTGAATTTAACGAGGATCATTGCAGTGGGAATCAGAAAAAAGGAAATGGTATAACGACTATCTCATTTATTTCTCTGCAGTTCCCCTGCCCTGCACCCAAGCCTCCCTCCTTCCAGATGAATAGGAAGAGGTTACAGCTGACCCGGTTTCACTCCCAGCAGCAGCAGATGAATCACGTGAGTTGTCAGAGACAGAATGGAGCAAGCTGGAGCAGCATGGAAGGCAGTGCTGTTTTCAGGAGGCCTGACCTCTGTGGCCAGAGTTCCCATCAGCCCCACTCACTGCGGGCCAAGATGCCCCCCACCCTCCAGAATCCCACAGCAGAGGGAGCCTGCAGTCCAGGAGCCTCGGGAAATCCAGGCGTGGGCTGAGGGCTGCAGCCCACCCTGGCCTGGGCATTGGGTGCCTATTAGGGATCTTGCCTGGGTACTCTAGGGGGTCTGTCCTGGTGGCCACAGAGCCAGCACAACCTGCTCGGGTGCTTGTTCCTAAGGTCAGCTCTGCTTCTCCTGAGTGGGGAGGGTCTCACAGTCTGCTTGGTGTGGGAGCGTTCCATGTCACTCAGATGGGCAGGCGGGAAGGTCGGCAGAAGAGCAGAGCAGAGACTCAGGAAGAGGGAGGCAGAGAGGTGGGCCGAATCAACCACACCCTGGAGGAAGCCACGGTGCCCGGGGGAGGTGGGGGTGGAGGAGGGGGCTGGAGGCCTGGGGTTCTTGCCCTGCTGGCCGGCCTCACTTGGACACCAGCATGCGGACAAACTCCTCGTAGTTCACCTGCCCATCTCCGTCCGTGTCTGCGGCCCGGATCATCTCCTCCACCTCCTCGTCACTCAGCTTCTCCCCCAGCCGGGTCATGATGTGCCGCAGCTCGGAGGTGCTGACAAAGCCGTTGCCATCCTTGTCAAACACGCGGAAGGCCTCGCGGATCTCCTCCTCGCTGTCCTTGTCCCTCATCTTCCTGGCCATCATGCCCAGGAACTCGGGGAAGTCCACGGTGCCGTTGCCGTCCTGGTCAATCTCTCTCATCATGTCCTGCAGCTCAGCCTCTGTGGGGTTCTGGCCCAGGGACCGCATGACCGTGCCCAGCTCGTGGGTGGTGATGCAGCCGTCCCCATCCTTGTCGAATAGGGAGAAGGCCTCCTTGAATTCTGTGATCTGCTCCTCAGTCAGCTGGTCGGCCATGCCTGGAGTGGCAGAGGCAGCCACCGCGTGGTCTCCCTCCCTCTGCTGCAGCCCTGCTGCTGTCCCAGCTCCAGGGTGGCAAGTGAAGATCTGAGTGGCCGGCAGGCTGTCTCACCCTGGCTTGAGTCGCTGAAGCTTAAAAAGCAGCAGAGTCCTCTCCCATCATTGGCAGACGCCCCTGCCCTGTGGTTGCCTGGGCCTGTCCTGTTTAGACAGGAGTCCAGGGCCTGTGAATTGAGCTGACGCCAGCACCTCTCTGCCTGCTCTCACCCGGACCCAGCAGAGCCGCAGGGGCCCTGGCAATCACACCTGCAGTCGGGGCGTGGTGGGCCAGCCTTGGAGCGAGCCACGCTGGACTCTCTCCTCCTGAATTTCCCTCTCCCTTCTCCCTCCCACCTGCCTGGCTCCCATTCAGTCATCTCTAGTGCCCTTTCTTCCCCGGGCACTGGAGTGGAGGCTGTTTTGCAGGATAAAGGGCAGACGGAAGAAACTTCCTTGCCTTTGGTTTCTATAGCCTTAGGCACCTCAAGGTTTTTAGAGGAGGAAGGTTTTTCTTATCTTCAGACTGGACATGAATTGGGAGGGGTTTCCTCCAACCCAGTCACTCACCTTTCACTGATTTACTGAGTGCCTACTATGTGCAGTGCCACTCTGGAAGCTGGGAACACAGTGGGACCAGGCAGGCCACCCCTAGTCCTCACGAGGTTAACTGGCAAGACAGTTAACTAGTTAGCAGGTAAACTACTTGAGGAATGCAGACAAGGTAAGGAGGGATTGTTGATAAATGCTGACAGACATCCAAAGCGGTGATGGACAGGACCCGAGGGTCACCTTTCAGCCTGGCCAAGGACAGACCCTCTGTGGAGAGGCACTCCAGGGTGACCCGAAGCTGGAGAAGGGGCCATCTAGGCTGCAGTGGGTGCAGTGGGGCCAGTGGCTGGAAGATGATCCTTGGGGCTGCAGGCCCGTGAGGAAGGGGACGAGGCTGGGGAGGAGAGAAAAAGGAGGCCTTGCCAGGAAGTCCCACTCCATTCTCTGATCTGCAGTGCCCCAGGAGTTCTGCACTGTGTGGAGCCTGTGCTGAGGAGAGGGCCTCTCAGGAGGGTACCCACTTGGGGGGACAGTGGGGTGTTCACAGCACAGACTCAGCTCCCACCCCCAGGGGCCCCGCGGACATGAAACCCAGAGAGGCAGGAGCAGCTGCATCACCTGTGTGACTCCAGGAAATCCACACTGGGGGAGAAGTGTGGAGCCCACTCTATTTTTTGCTGGGTGTGTGGGGACAGGGTGGGGACCTGGATAGGAAAAAAAGTTTCATTTTGAGGACCTCAGCTTGTCGAGGAGAGACCGTAGCAGGGCTTGGATATTCTTTGTTTTCTCTCTGAATTTCCTTCCCTTCTCTATTCAAGTAGAGGCAACTGTGTCCTTCTGGTCTGCAGGGGTCCGTGGTGGAAACTGAAGTCACCTGCAAGACCCCTTCCTGCCTGCCCGAAGGCTCCCGTAAAGCCTGGGCCTGAGGATTTGGGCAGGAGGAAGCAGGAAAGTTGAAGAATCCCTCCACCCCCATGGAATCTTTTCCTTAGAAGAGAAGTTTGTGGACCCCAGGGCGGCAGGGCTCAGGAATGTGGTGGCCACAGGCAGCCTTGGCAAAGAGCTCTGTGGCCTGGGGGTGGCGTGGAGGGAACCAGGTCATGGCCATCTTGGAAGCCACGTGTGTGGGCAACACTTCAGTGACCAGAGCCCACTCTCCCTTTCCTCCCCCGCCCCAGAATGTTCGTTGGGCCTTGCCTGAGACCTCACACCCCAACAGCTCTAGAGGAGTGGGGAGATGGGTTGTCTAGGACCCCCTCAGGTAGGAGAGGGGCTGATCATAAAGTTTAGATTTAGAGAGAATAATGAGGCGGCATCTCCATCTGCAGGCTGGGAGCGTGCCCTGGGCTCAGGTTCCAGCTCTGTCCGGGGGGCTGGGTGAGAGCCTGTGCCTTGCTCCTGGCAGCTCCACCTCTCCTTGAATATTCTGTAGAATACAAGGTAACCGTGAAAAGTTCAGCTAGGAATGAAGGTCCTTTTATTATTTTGGTTTTTTTTGGGCTAATTCCGGGACGTGGGGACCTTGTGTTCCTTCTGAGATGGGCTCTTGATTGTACACTGGTGTCTGATGCCTGAGCATTAGATTTCACATCCCAAAAACACTTTAAAAATATTTATCTCCGTTCTAGATCACCCAAATATCCAACAGTAGCAGGTTAGTAACAAATACCTGAGTTTTCATCCACAGCAGGAAAAGTACGGCTTTAAAATGAGGATGAGGGTATAGCTACGGAAAGCCGTCCGTGGAAAACGTTTGAAAAGCAGATGGAAAACTGTGTGATATAATTTCATGTATTAAAAATTATATATGTTTATATACATTCACAGAAGAAAAGCCTAGAGAACCACATACCAAACTCTTCACAGTGGATACTTGGGATAATAGGATTATAAGTGCTTTTAATTGTCTTATAAATACAGTATCTTTTTCCATTTTAAATGTTTTACATTTGCCATATATCAATTCTATTATTAGGGGGAATGACTGAAGATTCAAAAACCATCCCTGATTAAAAAAAAAATATTCCAGCCTGGGCGAGGTGGCTCATGCCTGTAATCCCAGCACTTTGGGAGGCCAAGGCAGGCGGATCAAGAGGTCAGGAGTTCGAGACCAGTCTGACCAACACGGTGAAAGCCCCTCTCTACTAAAAATCCAAAAATTAGCCAGGTGTGGTGGCAGGCTAATCCCAGCTACTCAAGAGGCTGAGGCAGGAGAATCACTTGAACCTGGGAGGTGGAGTTTGCAGTGAGCCGAGATCATGCCACTGCCCTCCAGCCTGGGCGACAGAGCGAGACTCTGTCTCAAAAAAAAAAAAAAATTTATACCTTACTGAACTCCCAATCTTCTTTCTCTTTCTCTGAGGTGAGGTAAGGCAGAGAGCCTGTAATATGGTCAGCTTTATATGTCTCAGATATGAGACTATGATGAGCATAGCTATTATGTATAGAAAAGCAGAATAATTAATAGCAGATAACCACAGCCCCTATCTGACTGCCAGAGTGACGGTCAAGTGGAAAAGAGGCTATGAAGCATTTTTCTTCTACTTTCCCTGCCTGGGGATGGAGGGACACCTTCATGAAAGAATACAGGGGCAGTCCCAGGAGGTAGGACAATTGAGGGACCTGGGCATGTGGCCGACACAGTCTCCTGGAGAGCCCAGGCTGGCATTGGGGGAAACCTGGCTGAGACAGTGCCCTGATGGACAAGGACAGGAATATGTTTATACCTCCTGGCCACCTGACCGATGACCAGATGACAGGCCAACAGTTACCTGTGGGTTTCTGGGTCATGGCTCTGTGGCTCAAACATTAGCTTTTACCTAAATGTCTTTCTCAAAAAGGCACTTCACAGTGGCTGGTGAGGTGGCTCACACCCATAATTCCACCACTTTGGGAGGTGGAGAAAGGGGGATCACTTGAGGTCAGGAGTTCAAGACCAGTCTGGCCAACATGGTGAAACCTCATCTCTTATACTAAAAGTACAAATATTAGCCGGGCGTGGTGGCTGGCACTTGTAATCCCAGCTACTTGGGAGGCTGAGGCAGGAGAATCACTTGAACCAGGGAGGCAGAGGTTGCTGTGAGTCGAGATGGTGCCACTACACTCCAGCCTGGGAGACAGTGAGACTCTGTCTCAAAAAAAAAGGACTCAGGATTTTAAACAGGGTTGCTTAGTACACAGTGACTCACAGAGGACTGCCTTATGACGGGCCAGATTGTTGCAACTCACTGGTTGGGAAACTGTGGCAGAGGGAATGTTTTTCATTTCATGTTTAACTCTCTCCCTGCTGCCTCTCACCCCAATATAGCAACTCATTTCCCTACAGATTAGACATTATTTTGGTCTATTTAAACATCAGGATCAATTTAAACATTTAAAAATTATGAAGGACTCCAAAGTGCTTGTGTTTATGTGGAGTATATATATATCAATATTTACTGTGTTTGCAACTAAAACTGAGAAACATTTAAATATTTGTATTTTTATATATTTAGGTACTAGCCTCAATACCTGGGTGATGAAATAATCTGTACAACAGACCCCCATGACACAAGTTTACCATGCAGCCAACCTGCACTTGGGACCCTGAACTTAAAGAAAAACATTATTCTTAAATGAAAAATAACGTTTCCAAGACGAAGAACAGGCAGAAGAATGGCATTTTATCAAATGGATTTGCAAATACCTTTAATGCCCGGCTTTCCAGAAGCAAACCTCCATCTGCGCTCAGTCTGTGGTAAAACGTTTGAGAGTGTATGATGATCCAGCCTCACACGGGTGTGCAGCCGGGGGAGGAGGGAGCATTCGAATAGTCTTTTCAAAAATTTGCGGATATTGTTCTTTGATACTACATCAACATTTGACAACTGTTAGTTTCTGAAAGGCGAGTTGCCGTGTGGAATCTGAGACCATCCCAGAGACCTTTCCATCCTGCTAAGTGAAAATGCAGTGGTCTCTTTTGCACCTTGAGCAGAACTTTTACCCATGCGTGGTTTCATAACACCGTGCACTGGTCACTTGGAAAATACTGGTTCACTGGTTGAACAATTACACATATAACATTACAAAATCACATTCATTAGGCCAGGTGTGATGGCTCATGCCTGTGATCTCAGCACTTTAGGAGGGCGAGGTGTGGGGATTGCTTGAATCCAGGAGTTCAAGACCAGCCTGGGCAACATAGCCCTCATCGCTACAAAAAATTGAAAAATTAGCCAGGTGTGGTGGTGTGTGCCTGTAGTCCTGGCTACTTGGGAGGCTGAGGTAGGAGGAGGATTGCTTGAGTGTGAGAAAGAGATCAAGGCTGCAGTGAGCTGTGATCATGTCATTGAACTTCAGCCTGGGTGACAGAGTGAGACCCTGTCTCAAAAAAAAGACCACATTATTGATATCACCACCAATCTCATTAGAAAGCTGCTAAGTATTGGAGAGGCTAAAATTCACAGTGACAAATACAAAATTTCAAAAATTCAAATTTTCATTTGGAAGCTCAAAAAATTTTAATGGCAACAAATACTGTCACTTGTTTCCCTTGCAATGACAGGCTCACTTCATTCTCAAATGTCTGCCAAATACTAGATCTGAGTAATATGGTTTGTCCATCAGCTGTTCTTTCCAGTAAAAATGACGTTCTATGACAAAAGCTTACCTTCTACTCAATCACAAAAGTGCTTTCCTCATGGCAATCATCACACTTCAAGATCAGCGGACTATTAAAAATGTGCAAGTGGAGGGGCACGGTGACTCACGCTTGTAATCCCAGCACTTTGGGAGGCAGAGGCAGGTGGATCATTTGAGGTCAGAAGTTCGAGACCAGCCTGGACAACTTGGTGAAACCCCATCTCTACTAAAAATACAAAATTAGCCAGTTGTGGTGCCGAGTGCCTGTAGTCCCAGCTACTTGGAAGGCTGAGGCTGGAGAATTGCTTGAGCCTGGGAGGTGGAGGTTGCAATGAGCCGAGATTGTGCCACTGCACTCCAGTCTGGGCGACAGAGTGAGAACCTGTCTCAAAACAAAAATGTACAAGTAATCTTTGAAATTGAATAAAAATAATCCTGCCCCAAGGATATTTTCAAGTGCAACCAGTTTTTTGTTTGTTGAATGAGACAGTGTGACAGTGAAGGGTGTCATGATGGGTAGCACAGGGATTCTAATTCCTGTGAATTCCTGCCAAGGCACTGGTTTTACCCCTGTTGCTTTTGACCTCAGTGCAAATACCAACACAGTGAAAAGGCCAAAAAACATTCGTATTATTGTGAAAATAGTTTTGACCTCTCAGGCCCTCAGTAAGGGTCTTGGGACATGCTGTTCCCAAATAGATCCATGGAACAGACTTTGAGAGCCAAGCGCCTGGCGTGCTGGCACTCAGGAGTGTGAACTGCTTGTAGAATTCCTGGGCTACAGGTATCAGGTAAGGACTGTGGAATTGTGGTGGGACGGTGTGGAGAATAGTATTATTTTTTATTTTTATTTTTGAGATGGGGTCTCGCTCTGTCGCCCAGGCTGGGGTGCAATGGCGCACTCTCGGCTCACTGCAACCTCTGCCTCCCGGGTTCAAGTGATTCTTCTGCTTTAGCCTCCCAAGGAGCTGGGATTACAGGCTCGGGGCACCATGCTGGCTAATTTTGGTATTTTTAGTAGGGACAGGGTTTCACCATATTGGTCAGGCTGGTCTTGGTAACTCCTGACCTCATGATCCGCCTGTTTTAGCCTCCCAAAGTGCTGGGATTACAGACGTGAGCCACCGAGCCCGGCCGAAAATAGTATTAATGAACCCAATAAATACAGATTGAAGGGCCCCCTCCCCCCGCCCACTACAGTTGCCTTCTTTGAAGACTAGAAACCCCAAAGCCAGAAGACCCAAGGAGATTTGCTTTTTCCCTCTGAAGCGTTGTAATAGCCTTTGTCAAGAACTTGTTACGTGTCCTTTTAAATGTGCCTCTACTGCTGGGTGCTATAAAGGTATGAAGATTCGCCAATCTTCAGCCGCTTCTGTTCCTGTGGTCCGGCTGGAACGGGTGTGGCTGAGTGGTCCTGAACTCTCTTTTTCTTGATAAAGCCATCCACCAGCCCTAACATTTGCTCACCAACTTCCTTCCTCCCCTGTATAAATATTAGCACTTTTATGTAACTTAATCCAGCTTCGGCTGCTCACAGCTTGAAAGCCAGATCAAGAGACAAGGGTTGCTGGGAGGAAAAGCAGGTTTATCCAGAGAGCCAGCAAATGAAGCACGTGTTCTAAACCATTATCCCATCTTAACATTTTCAGGCTGGGCCACAAGGCTCCTATAAATCCTTAACAAAACATAGTTAATTGTTTACACGCTTTACCTTTAATCTCAGCATGAGTTTCAAAAATGACATGATTGCTGTGTTATCTCAGTGCTCTAAAACTATCCTAGCCTCTGTGCAGGAATGGGTAAAGGCCTCTTAGCAAAAACGGAGTTACTTATGCTGTTTTACTGTTTGACAGTTACGTTTATCATGTAAGACATGGATTTGTTTACTATCCATTGAGCAATTCGTATCCTTTGTGTTATGTCTCCATGTCACAGATGATGAATAGGAGGTGAAGTGGGGCAGCTAGCAAGCGTAAAACTTGGGCTGGAACACGGATCTTCTGACTGCGACAGCTAGCCTCCCTTTCCATTTGCTCTGTGGTCCTCCCCAGTGCAGTTTTGACCATCTTGCCCAGAAGCTGCAAACAGACAACAGAAGCCGGGGCTGGCGCTGCGTTAGACGGCTCTCAGTGCAGGTAGGTATCAAGACTTGATCGTAGTGCATCTCTCTCTCCGCCTCTTCTGCTGAGCACCTCACGTATGCATCTGCCCACCGAACACCTCCATTTGCGTGTTTCATCACCATCTCAAGCGAATGTGACCCAGCAGACTTCTTGGTCTTCATCCCTACTCCCCCCCTGCCCCCACCTAGTCTTCTCATCTCATCTCTCTGTCTCTCTTTCTGAGATACAGGTTGGCTCTGTCGCCCAGGCTGGAGTGCAGTGGCAGCATCTTGACTCACAGCAACCTCTGTCTCCTGGGCTTAAGCCATCCTCCCAACTCAGCCTCCCAAGTAGCTGGGTCTTCCCATCTCTTTAAAAAACAATTCATTCGATTGTTCAGAACAAAACCCTAGAGTCATATTTAATTCCTCCCTTTCTCTCGCACTTCTAAAGCTCTGCTTTGAAAATGCTCCTTTGCTCATCCACTGCACCAAGCCCCCACCATCTCAAGGCAGGACGATTCCATGGCCTCCTAACTGGTTTCCCTATTTGTATTATATTCACTGTGTGCCTTTTCTTACTCAGAATCCTCTAATGGCCTCTCTTCACCACCTGTGACTGTTTCCTGCCTTCCTTGCTGCGATCCTATCACTGACCCCCCAAGACGATGTTCCATCCTACTTCCCGCTCCTTAACAACAGCCTTGACCTGATTCCCACATTTTGTGACTTTGCTTGAGTCGTCTGCCTGCCTGGACACTCTGCGCCTAACCTTTAAGTGTTGACCCTTTCCCGCCCCTCGGTTGAAAGTCAAATTCCATTTCCTTGTCAGGGCTTCCCTGAGTACGTGCTTTTAATTGACCCTCTGCTTCCTCCCGTGACTTCTGTTTCGCTCCCTCCTTAGCTCCTTCCCATCTTAGTTTCACAAGAGCCAGGGCTGTTTTCGACCTCTTTCCCTGTCAAGCCCCCGTAGACAGGACAGGCCCTCTGCCTCGCCGACTTCACTCGGTGTTTGCCAGTAAACAGAGCACGAGAGGATCACATTGTCCTCAAAGAGAAATTGCTCCAGGACTGCTGGAACCTCACCCTTCCTTCAAGTTCTGGTTCAAAACATTCCCGCCACGCCTCAAATGGCCCGTCCCAAGTGCCTGTTTCATTTGCCTGTGTTCTTTCTTCCCCACTGTCCTCATTTGCCATGTGTCTTGGAGGTGGCTGGAGACCTCCATGCTGGCCCTTGGGAACAGCTGCTGAGGCTTGGCACCCGTGGACGTTGACCACCAGGCTTCTCCTCTGTCTGCATCTCTGCAAGAATGAGAACCTGCCCCCAAACCATTTGTGCTGTGTCAGCCTCAGGAGGCATGGGCTCACAGACCCAGCTTCCTGGAAGCTCTCCGGTACGTCTCAGTGTTCACCCCCAGCTCTCCATTACGGGCACCAGCAGGGACTCCGGTGCAGGCTCCTTAGAAAGAGGCCAGGAACTGCCGAGATGATATGAGCCAGTAGATCTCGGGGGAAGAGAGGACTTCTCTCCTTAGCAAAGAACCCGTGGAGATTGGAAAGATACTCCGGCTCAAAGCCGAATTTGAAAGTTAGGCTGACAGCCCAACTAGGGCAGATTGGAGGAGCCAGGTGGGGAGACGATGTGGGGGGTTCAGGAAAGAGGTAGAAGGAGGAGCCTGGAAGGGTGGCCCGCTCCTGGAGCACGGCCAGCGGCACTTCGTCAGGACCCTGCCCATCACCCACTGATGGGAGAGTATTCTTTGCACAACTGGTAGGGTTACCTGGGAAACACACAAATGGAAGAATTAAAAAATGTCTGCTAGGACACCCTCCCCCACGCCCCTGCCACGACTCCTCACAGAGCAAACTCCTTGGCTGCTTCTTGTCTCGGCCGTCGTTTCATTTGGCCTCTTTGCCTGGCTCAACTTTGGGGTCTTTGTTCCCAGCATCAAAACTTCCTGCCAGTGACTTTCCATCACGGGCTCCCTACAAGTCTTCTGGAAATTATCACATGTGCCTGGATTTGCAGGGGCTGCACAAGGTGTGTTGTGGAGCTGGGATGTTTGCAGTTCACACTCCAATGTGCAACTGTGACCAAATGGAGATGGAGGACGCGACAATGAGCTACGGGGACATTGATGAAGCGTGGACGAGGAGTCAGTGGCATCTGTCTGTGTCCTGGAACCGACCAGGCACTGCTGCTTCCTTTTGCATCCCAAGGCCGGGACTGACCTGACAGTAGGTAGGCTTTGCTCTATGCTCCAACTCCCACTGGCCACAGGGTGAAAGCACCCTTTCTCAGTCAGCCTCACTGCTTCCCCACAGATGGAGGGATTTTCTGCAGGGGCATGAGCCCTGGGCCTTCCTTTCCCACCGCCTCTTGACAGCCTCCTCCAGATGTGCTGCCTGGCCCAGCTCTTCCGGTGACTTTTGGTCTGTCTCATCTGACTCATCAAGATTCACACAGGGCTGTGTCCTGGGCTGGGCTGGAGTTGATTGAGGGAGGAGGTTTGTGTTCCAGAACAGAGCAGTGATTGGTTCAATTGAACTCTGACAGGCAGATCGTCAGGTAAAAAGCACGTGAGCACGCTCCCCGGAGCCTGCCGCCCTGCGAGGCCTCTTGCCTGGTCGGGGGCTCACATGCAACACGGATCCCCCAAGCCAAACAATGGGATTGAGCGGAGACCGTCCAGGGCACGTGCTCACATCAGGTCTTGCAGTTTGCACCAGGTAGCCCAGGGTTACCCTGCCCCGCAAGAGCTGCCTTCTCAGCACAATCTAGTTCTATGGCTGCCTGGGCTGCAGAGGTCAGCTCCTGACCCTCGCTGAGCACCTCCGTCTATGCGTTTCGAAAAGGGCCAAGTAAGGGGCATTAACGTGGCCTGTGCTTAGTACCTGACAGCGAGTGGGATTAAACCACTATTAAACGCTCAGCCCTAAACCAATGCAGACCAGAAATAGGTCTCAGGATAAAAGCAGTCAAGTGATTAAAAATCTATTCCTGGACTTGTTACTTTCCTGGGAAAAAGTTATTTCTTGTGAAATAGGTAGGGACTGGAACTTTCCCTGACAGCCCGCTGGGAGCTCACTCACTGGCCCCGCCTGTGTTGGGGGTGTTGGGTGGTGAGAGGTGCAGGTCTGTCCAGAGGAAGGGTCTGGACAGAGGTGGAGGGAGGAGAGAGGGCGGAGAGGGAGAATGGGCATGATCCACTGACCTTTCAAACTTGATGCTTGATGTTTTGAAAAAAATGACAGAAAATATGGGCTGGGTGCAGTGGCTCATGCCTGTAATCCTAGCACTTTGGGAAGTTGAAATGGGAAGATCACCTGACGTCAGGAGTTCAAGACCTGCCTGACCAAGGTGGTGAAAGCCCGTCTCTACTAAAAATACAAAAATTAGCTGGGCGTGCTGGTGCGCACCTATAATCCCAACTACTCAGCAGACCGAGGCAGAAGAATCATTTGAATTCAGGAGGCAGAGATGCAGTGAGCCGAGATGGCGCCTCTGCAGGCCAGCCTGGGTGACGGAGCGAGACTCTGTCTCAAAAAAAAGTATGAAAAGTATGAAGTAAGGGGGAAGTAGAGGGGCTTAGCCACATGCTACAGATCTTTTTATACCAAGATGCATAGATGATTAGCTAAGTAGGACAGTTTGTTACTCTAGGCCTCCACAACCAAAGGGGCAAGATAATTATCTCCAAGAGAACAAGTTGATCTTCCTTGAAGGATAAGGAGTTCCCCAAGCAGCAGGAAGAGCTTCTGTTTCCAATTCCAGCCTTTGAAGTTTCTGCTTCAGTAGAAAACCTTAGCATTTAATGCGGGAAGGCGGGCACGTGCATGTGCATGTGTCTGTACCCACACGTGTGGCTCAAGCAGCCCTGTGACAATGGGTTGCCTGCGGGCACACAGGGGATGTGTGGGGAAGGCAGGAGGGTTTAGGGTGTGGGCTCAGGATGCTGGTGAGAGATTTAAGGCAGGCAAAGGGATGTGGCAAAGTGCACTCCCGTTTCCTCATTCCATCAGAGCCTGCCTTAGTTATTTACCGCTGTGGTTTTAAGCTCTGCTCTTCCAAACCCTTGGGTTCTGCAGAGGTCCTCCGAGAGGTGTGTGGGGGCAAGGGAAGGCGGGGGCAGGCACCCAGGCCACCCAGCCTCCTTCCATTCCCCACGTCTGCTTTCAGCTGTTTCATGTGCATCAAGCAATTGCAGCTGTCGTGGCTCAGGTCCTCATCTGTACAGTGGGCACCATGGCAGTGTTCAGGTCAGAGGGTGACCAGAGTGACATGAATTAAGGCATGAGAAGGCTCCAAAGACTGGCTGGGCCTCTCACATCATAGGAGCACCATAAGTAGTTGATATTACTTTGTGTTACTAGGTATACACTTTTCATCTGTATTGTGACTTCCATGGGCCCCACCTCTCATGACCTCAACTCACCCTAATGAGATGGGCCCCCTGCAAATACCATGGAGGGGCAGGACTTGAGCCTATGAATTTGGCGGGGACACGATTCAGTTCAAACCTCTTAGTGTTTCTTTTTTCTTTTTTTGAGAGGGAGTCTTGCTCTGTCCCCAGGCTGGAGTGCAGTGGCGTGATTTGGGCTCACTGCAACCTGCGCCTCCCAGGTTCGAAGGATTCTCCTGCCTCAGCCTCCAGAGTAGCTGGGATTATAGGTGCGCACCACCACACCCAGCTAATTTTTGTATTTTTAGTAGAGATAGGGTGTCACCATGCTGACCAGGATGATCTGCCCACCTCAGCCTCCCAAACTACTGGGGTTACAAGCGTGAGCCACTGCCCCTGGCCACCTCTTGGTGTTTTTGTGTATCCATTTCTGCATGTGTGAACTGAACAGACAGCTTCTGACCTCATCTCTAAAGGTGCATGGAGGAGGTGGGAAGGCCCCAGCCTGAGACTGAGCTTTGCTGCCAGCACAAGGCTGGGTTTGGTGCTTCAGTGCAGGGGCACCCTCGGAAAGGTGGCAGGTGCCCACAGTGAGGAAGGGGCGGGAGTGAGGGAGTGCATGGCCCAAGAGCACTCAGTGACGATGGCCATTAGGGAGGAAATGAGGGAGTGGGGTGTGCGAAGTGCTGAGCTTTTCCTGCCCAGTTTGGCTGAGGACACGCCATGGGTGAGTCTCTGCCACAAGGGGAGCTTGGTAATGAGGAAGGAAGAAGACACGATAGAGAACTGGAGGCACGAAGGTAGGAAAGCTAAAGGAACGGGGAGGAGAAAGGGCTTCTCTGGAGCTGCTTTTGCTTTCCCCAGATTCTCCTGCCATTCCTGGCTGCAGGGACTCCTGAGGAATTTGGTTAGGGTGGAGAATCCCGCAGAGGAAAGAAGAGAATGGACAAGAGCTCACACATGGCTTCTTGGAGGGGCCGGGGGAGCAGGGGCTGTGAAGCTGCAGGTGGCAGGCCCAGGGAAGGAAGTTCTTCAGCGGAACCTTCGTATGAATTCCACTGAGATGCGTCCGGCACAGACCCGAAGGCAGCCACATGTGGAAATGAGGTTTCATGTGCATTTCGGATCCACAGAGAGGGTGGACTCTGTTTTGCAGAATGGACTGGTGGGTGGGGGAAGGAATGCTGGCAGAACTTTGTATTCCACTCAGTCCTGTATTCATTCATCCAACCATCCTTCTTTTATCATTCATCAAATTAACACACACTGCAAGTCCACTTTGTGTCAGCTTCGTGCCTGGCCCAAGACCTCAGGTGGTTTCGGCAAAGTTCCGTCGCCAAGGAGCTCACGGGCGTATTTCCTGCCAGGACCCAGACACTCTCTGCGTGGAGCCTGAAGAGGTTCTGAGCCTGAGGGAAGAAAGGTAGAGGCTCAGGATTTGTCCAATAACACTGCCGATGGTGAGAGATGGGGGGGCTGATGCCCACCCTTAGCCAGATGCCTCCCTCCCAGGCCGCATGTCCTCTCCCAGACCCCAAAGCTTTGTGCCTGGTCTGAGTTCTTGGGAGAAGAGGGATTAGAAGCTGGAACAGGCATTTCTGCTAATGGCACGCATCAGGTCAGCATTTGTGGGGGCTCTGTCACCCGGTGGGATGGCCCAGCGGGAAGTGTGGCATGTCTCCACCGAGATCTCCATGGAGCAGTTTGGCTCCCTGAGAAGTTGAGGTATGAGCAGTAGCTGCCTTCCCTTTGCAGACAGAAGGCTCGGGAGAGAAGACGCCCTCTTGATTGGAGGTGGAAAGGAAGCTGTATGATGGGGAAGAGCCCAGGTTTGGGGTTCAAGGTGCTGGCCACTGGGAAAAAGCGCTGCCCGAGTTGCAAAACTCTAGATCCTATACATATAAACTGTACCCCGAGGAAGGGATCTCAGACGTATCGTAGGAGAACACGTTCTAGCTTGTGAAGCAAATACAACAGGACCGTGAATCCAGATATTTCAAGCGAGTTTAGAGGACTGGAGCTCTAGACGCTGCTTTGACTGTAAATTATCACAGCCTGGAATGTGATGAAGAAAGGAAAATGGGCCGGTAACAGCAAGGACTATGGGCAAGGAAAACCAGAGTGTGCCATGTGGCAAAGCAGCCCTCTGTGTATAGTAACAGAATCAAGTCACGGAGTAACAGAATCAAGCTGATGTGTGTGGCAGGGGCGGGGAGGATGAGGCAGCTCCCAGCAGAACAGAAAGATATTAACGTGTAACCTAAGTGAGGCTGGAGGCAGGGGAAAAGTGGGGCTCTCTCTTTTTAAGATGCCAGAAAGTAGTCAGTCATGCTAAGAACAGAACAAACACAAACAAAGCTCTTGAGAAGAGTAAGGCTAATGATCTTCGAGAATTGGATCATTATTTCCACACGTGTCCAGGAGAACACAGGCATAAAAGCACAAAGGAGAAACTTAAAGAGGGAGGGAGAAGTCAAAGCTCAAGTGAAGAGATTTTTAACCTAGAGAGACTGAGTTATCAGGGAAGGGGGAAGCCCAAGCCAGCTTGTCACAGAATGTTCCGGAAGTTCAGATAACGATAGACTTACATAAACAGGGACTGATCAAGTGATACTGAGCTCTTGGTGAAATTGCTTCCAAGGATTTCACAGAAGTGTATTTCGTTGAAATGGACAGTAACCAGATGACTGCATTAAAATTTTAAAACTGTCAGGCGTGGTGGCTCACACCTGTAATCCCAACACTTTGGGAGGCCAAGGCAGGTGGGTCACTTGAGGCCAGGAGTTCAAGACCAGCCTGACCAACATGGTGAAACCCCACCTCTATTAAAAATACAAAAATGAGCCGGGTGTAGTGGTGCATGCCTGTAATCTCAGCTACTTGGGAGGCTGAAGCAGGAGAATTACTTGAACCTGGGAGGCAGAGGCTGTGGTGAGCAGAGATCACACCACTGCACTCTAGCCTGACTCTGTCTCAAATAAATAAAATTAAATTAAAAGAAAAACTGACTCGTAGGTGACAGGGGGATGGAGGCAGCAAACCACCTATGCAACAATCCTGCAAGGTCTGCACCTGTACTCCAGAACTTCAACCATAACAATAATTTAAAAGATCAAAAAAGAAAAAAGAAAAAAACCCCTCAGCAATGAGCATAAACTCTGTCAATGATAAGTATAGGTGAATATTTGAAAAAAAGCCTTAGCAATGATTATCTCCAGAGAGTGGAGAGAATGTGTGGATGGAATTTTTGTGTTTTACACTTTGGAATATTTCTAAATTTTTAAAGAAGCATGGGTTACTTTCAAACGTTGTATCTTGAATAAAATGCAAGGCTATAAATGCCATTATTAAAAAACAACAAAACTGACGGATGCCGTTGGGAGTGTTTCCACAGAACAGACCAGCTGGGAGGCAGAGCCGGCCTGGATTGCCGCCTCTCCCCAGCACAGCCGGTGCCCCCCTCCCGCTCCTGGCCACCTCCACGGTCCCCTGCCCCTGCCAGGCCTAGGGGAAGCTGTGAATGTGCTTCTCCACTTGAGGGTGCGGGACAACACCGGGGCCTTGGGCTGGGCCTCTGCGCTAGAAAGCCCCGCCATCCAGTCAGGGGCTGCTGGAGCTGAGTTTTGTCTTCCACGGCTTGTGAAGGAAAGATGAAGCTATCAGATCATGAGCAGACGCTGGGGTGCCCTGGGTAAGAGCCTGGGTACTGGCATCAGGCGAACCTAGATTCGCATTTCCACTCTTTGATGAACTGGTTTTGTGACCTCACTGAGCCTCAATTACTTCACCTGCTTACCCTTATTTTAATAAGAATAAAGGGAGAGGGAAAATGAGGTCACACATCAAAGCCCATAGCACAGCACCTGGCACCTAGGAAGGGCACAGCACCTGTCTTCCTCGGGTAATGGGGGCAGCTGTGGCTTTGACGTGGTTCTGCCCAGTTTGGGCACTGACGCGTGGCCGGGCTACAGTGGATGCTTGAGTTCAGGATAGAGCTGGGGGCAGCTGACCTTACTGGGCCCTGGTGGGGGTGTTCTTGGAAATCCCACCACAGAGGGTGGTGTGAATCCCAGAGCCAGGGTGCATACAGCACAGAGTTGTGTCCAGGGGGCTTGCGGACATCACGTCAGTGTCCCACCATCATGAAGAAGTTATGAACTAGTGACTTCTCATGAAAGTCAGCTTGAGGCTCCAGAGCAGGGGGGAGCAACTTCCCAAAAGAAGGAAGCAGGAAGGGGAAACAGCTCGGGGCTGGGAAAGCCGCAGTTGGCCCAACCAGACTGTGGGAAGGAGAGGGAAGGCAAGCTGCGGCGATGCAGGAAGGGCTGAGAGCATCTCATCCCAAGAGAGGAGGAAGGAGGAGACGTGGCCAGCCAGGCCCAGGACGTCCCAGCCTCTGGGCCGGCAGCAACAGCAACGCTTCTTAAATGTCACCCAGTTGAGGAGAAGGGGGTGTGGGAGTAGAGCCTGTCCTAGAAAAGAGCAAACAGAATGAAACTGGAGCTGGGGGTGAGGGGCGGGGACATGTGGGTTCATAAGGAAGCGGGATGTAGTGGCCGGGGAGGCTTTAGTGCTGGAGGAAAAGGGCAAACGTGTGTGTATCTTACAGTGAAACCTCCACCCGAGAGCTGGGGGATCCAAGAAGAGACCTGAAAAAATATCTGTGGAAAAGGCGTAGAGTCCTTGGAAGTCGGGTTGAAAGACCTCGAAGTCCGGGGAGGGGATGGACCCTCGGTCATGATCCGGGTGGGTGGGGAAGGAGGGGCCCGAGGAGCCGTGCACCACTGGTTGGGATCAGGAGCCTGACGCACCTGAGGAAGCGCCTGGACCCAGGGCAGCTGGTGTGGGATGAACACCACGTGGGTCTCAGGTCTGTGTGTTGAGTCCAGCCTCCCTTCCGAGGGGCGGCTCCTTCTTTTCATTCCTTGGCTTCCCAGCCTCTGACACGGGGTTAACCATGACAGCTGTCCTGGGTGGGGCCACAGACATGTGAGTAGAGGGTCACTGATGAATGACTGACTGGTGAGCATGTCCACGCAAAAGGAGGGCACGTTGACCTGGAAGCACATTTTCCCTCAATCCACTCAGAAAATCCCAGGACCAAAGACAGGGCCGAAGGTTTCCACAGGCCACTGGCACTGAGCTCTGGCACATGCAAAAATGGAGTCAGATGGCCGGGAGGAGGAGCAGGGCTGGGACTCCTGCCCCGGGAGCCCTGGTCTGCCCGCTGCACTCTCCTGCTTCTGAGCCCAGAGCCCAGCACCTGCCGACCCATCCAAGTGCCTAGACCCTGCAAGGCTGAGCATAGGATGAAGGGTGGCTCTGCCAGGAGCCCTGTGAGGTTTCTCAGTCAGTGGACCTGACCCCCCAAAGCATTGTCTGTGACTAACCCCAACCAATTCAAGGACATCAGCCTGGTAGGTGGGGGAGATGGACAGGTACACAGGCACCCCTTGGGAGGTCAGGGGCAAAGTGCAGCGGGTGAAGGAGGGCAGTGGTGGCCTGCGGAGGGCAGAGCTGTTTTAGGGGGCTGCTTGCATCTGGATGGCCTGAGAAGGGTGTGGTGGGGGGTCCTGGGAGAAGAGGGTGCCCTGTGGGGAGGCCCAAAGACGGAGGCTGGGTGGGAGGGCAGCAGGGTGGTTTTGGGAGGGGGATCTTCCGGCCCTCAGTCCCCCCGGCCATTGCAGGCTTCACCTCAGCCAGTGGCCTCTCGTGGACCCAACTTCATTTCCACCCTAGACATAGGGCCAGACTTGCTGGTAACCCAGGTTCCCATCTCTGGGGTCTCTGGGCTCCCCTCCAAGGAGCCCGTAAGAACAGGGCCCTCCTGTCCTCTTCTCCCCCTTTCTTCTCTAAGGCAGCCCTGCTCTCCTCCCAGGACACAGCCCCACCGAGGGTGCCCTGCAGCTGAGCTTCATGCCCGGACCTGCTCTGGCTTGGAGGGGACACTTGGCCATTCCTGCAGACGGGCTGGCTCCTGCAGAACAGGTTTCCTGTGGCAAGAACTCCTGAGAGGCGGTGAGCGGCCAACCCTCCTACACAAGGACCCTCCTACCGAGGGGACTGGGCCTGTGGGGTCAGCAGGAGTGGGGCATGGCCACAAGGCTGCTGTCGGGCCAGAGGGAGGAGGCGGTTCTCCCAGGCTCACTGTTCCCACTGAGTCAGAGCCAGTGCCCTTCTTGTCCCTGCCAGTTCCATGTGCCCAATGGCAAGCACGGAGGAGAGCAAGTGCCAGGGGCAGAGGACACCATCTGGCTCGCCCCGTCCTCCACAGAGGGCCCTATGGTCCTGCAAGGTGCCTGCCTCCTTTCCTCTCTGACCACATGCCAACATCTCTCTTGCTTTCCTGGTCCGTGTTGGACCCCGGGGCTATCGTCTCCCTGTGTGGCGCCATCGGGGATTGAAGAGCCACGGTGTGGAGGTGTTGCATCCTGAGAGCCTCCAAGTGGCCTGCCCACTCACTGGGCAGGCCACTGGCCGAGCACCCGCTCCTGGTGGGAGGTGGGGTCTCAAGAAGGTGGAAGTCACAATGCAGAGGGAAGACCAGTCCCTTACCTTTGCAGGGTGCTTTGCAGGCTACAGGCACCTTCCCTTTTGCTTCTTGCAGCAGCCCCATAGCGGGAAGGGGTAGGGATTCCTAACCTCTCTATGGTGGATGCAGCCAGCGCTCCTAAGCCCAGGGCCTCCTTGTCTCCAGCTCTCCCTGGGATGGGCCTTACTCGGGAGCCTGAGGTGGGAGGATTGTTTGAACCCGGGAGGTGGAGGTTGCAGTGAGCCAAGGTCACGCCACTGCACTCCAGCCTGGGGGACAGAGCGAGACACTGTCTCGAAAAGGAAAAAAAAGAAAAAGAAAAAGAAATAGGAGATACTTAGCAAAACAAAGATCCTTTAAAGATGTTTCATCCAGTTCCTTGTACACAAGCACACACACGTACACACCCACACACGTACACACCCACACACCCACACACGTATACCCACACACACCCACACACAATGACCATATCATTCAGCCTTTTTCATCTTTTCACCCCTTTTTCTGCCTATCAGTATCTCTGCAAGCTGTATTAACATCCCAGAGTTTTGTTCACACATGTAAAATCCTGTCATTAGTTGTAATACATGACACAGTGCCAGGTTACTAAGAATAAAGCTGTCGCATTTGACCTTTTCACCAGCAATGTGGAAGGAGGACAGTTTCTTCATATCTTCTCTAGCAGTAGGTATTTTAATTTTTGCCAGCTGGATTGGGCATGGCGCGATGCCTCGTCATTATCTCAGTCGGCCCCTCCTCCTCTCCTGCCGAAGTCCAGCGGCTTTTACTGTTGGTCGGCCATTTGAATTGGCTTTTCTGTGAATGGGCTGCTTACATCCTTGGCTCATTTTCCTATTGAATTGTTATTGTTGCAGTTTTAACAGTTTTAAAGCTCTTTGTATATTTATCATCTCCCCCAAGATCTATCATTTTTATCTATAGTCTTTTTTTTTTTTTTTTGCTGCTCATACAAAAGGTTTACCTTTTTATAGGTACCCAGATATGCCTACCTTTCTTTGACGACTTCTGGGTCTCCAGAATTCTTTAAATATGTTCCTCTCTCACCTCTCACTTTGTGCATCCATCCACTTGCCTTTAACTGTCTAGGTCTAAACTTCCCCAAAGGTTTCTGTACGTGTGTGTGACAGCAGTGAGCAGGATCACGACCATCCCTGATCCTGTCCAGCATTCAGGCTCACGGCAGTCTTCACGCTTCAGAATATGGTTCTGAATCCTGAGATACACCGGCAGCCCTCTGCGCCACCTCAGAATGATTGCTTTCTTAGTGTTGTTACTCCAAGAACACTGCCGATTTACAAGCTTGCTTAATTTCTTTTCCTGACAACTTTGAGTTCTGTCTTAAAAGTTCTGCCAATACTAGCTGTGAAATGAAGAGGAACGCAGGACATGCTGAGAAGACCCATGGGAGAGGGAGAGGAAGAGGGACCCACTCCACGACTGCGGGTGGGAAGGAAAGAGGGACCCACCCCACGACAGCAGGTGGGAAGGATCACCTGGGAGATCACCGCCAACCGGGACTGTCTCACGTATGGCAGACCCCATGCAAACCTCTGCACAGTGAATAGAGAGGTCCTATGTATCGGTTTAAACCACTGGGATTATACTCCATCTAATTTCGAGTTGAAATGTTTCAGTTCTTGGGTAAGTGCCTCTCTCAAGACAGTTCTCCAGGAGATGCTGGATAACCAGGGTTGGGGAGTGGGGACCAATGAGCAGGCTCTGGTCTGGGACACAGAGCCAGGTGTGTCCTGCCAGGTTCCCAGGTGTGTCATTGATGGGTCAGAGTCTGGGGGAGGACTGCTCTTGCCCACTAACCCAGCAAGTCTAGACACATTGCGGGCACTGGATAAATAGCAACCCACGCCAGCTCCAGAGCCTCTCTTCACCGGAGAACACACAAGCATCCTCCCAGGAGAGGGGAGGGGGGCTCTGCCCTTTGCCCAGGGAACACCTGGTGTGACTTCAGGTTGTTGTAGCCCAAGAATCACACTGTTGATTGGACAGGGACTGGAACGGAGCTCTCTACCCTCCAAGTCCTCACCCTGTGATTATTTCCTGTAGAATTCTGTGCCCCTGTCAAGCGTGTTCCACGCAAGTGGTCTATATGGCAGATGCCAGGAGTGCAGTGGACAACAAGGCTGATTGGCAGCAGTGAAATCAGGTGTTTCTTCATTCAGCTGAAGCCCTGAGAACTTAGAATTGGCACCTGAGTATGCAGTGAGGGTACGTCTGCTTTGGCCAGGAAGCAGCCTGGCACAGCACCCAACAGAGAGACGGTGTGGGCAGGGGTGCAGGAGGGTCGGGCAGCTCCTGCCTACTGAGCGCTTGCTCTTGCCAGGTGCTGGGCAGAGGTTTTCTTGCAGGGCCTTGACCCTCTCAAGGCTACTATAAGGCAGGTGCTGGTACCATATTCTTCACCTGGAAGCACGCAGCATTTAGGGGTGGAGCAGTTCTCCCAGGCCGCACAGGTAGCAAAGTGCAGAAGCCAGGAGCTGACCCCAGTGATCTGAACACACGCCAGGAGCTGACCCCAGTGATCTGACCACACGCCAGGAGCTGACCCCAGTGATCTGACCACACGCCAGGAGCTGACCCCTGTGATCTGACCACACGCCAGGAGCTGACCCCTGTGATCTGACCACACGCCAGGAGCTGACCCCTGTGATCTGACCACACGCCAGGAGCTGACCCCAGTGATCTGACCACACGCCAGGAGCTGACCCCAGTGATCTGACCACACGCCAGGAGCTGACCCCTGTGATCTGACCACACGCCAGGAGCTGACCCCTGTGATCTGACCACACGCCAGGAGCTGACCCCTGTGATCTGACCACACGCCAGGAGCTGACCCCTGTGATCTGACCACATGCCAGGAGCTGACCCCAGTGATCTGACCACACGCCAGGAGCTGACCCCAGTGATCTGACCACACGCCAGGAGCTGACCCCAGTGATCTGACCACACACCAGGAGCTGACCCCTGTGATCTGACCACATGCTGTTGGGAAGATGCGTGGTGTGTAGGGAGCTGCGTGGCGTGTGGGGAGCTGTGTGGCATGTAGGGGAGGTGCGTGGCGTGTGTGGGAGGTGTGTGGCGTGTGTGGGGGAGGTGCGTGGCGTGTGGGGGGGAGGTGCGTGGCGTGTGGGGGAGCTGCGTGGCGTGTGGGGGAGGTGCATGGCGTGTGGGGAGGTGCGTGGCGTGTGGGGAGGTGCGTGGCGTGTGGGGGGGAGGTGCGTGGCGTGTGGGGGAGCTGCGTGGTGTGTGGGGAGGTGCGTGGCATGTAGGGAAGTGTGTAGTGTGTAGGGGAGGTGTGTGGTTTGTAGGAACACCAAGGAGGGGGGATTGGAGCCCGCTGCCTGTGAAGCCGGCTCAATCACTCACCATTTCTGTTGCTCATTGCTGAGGATAACTGCAGGGGAGATGAGCTCTTTGTAGCTGGGTCCCCGGCATTCTCTTCCACAGATCACACCCTCCACATAGCCCCTTTCCATTTCCCTGGGGCTGCCCTGTCCCTAGAGAAGGTCGGGCTGTGCACAGGTCCCAGGTGAGATCAGTTTCTGCAAACACAGAAGTGTGAGAGGAGTTCCTGCTCTGGTCCAGGCTCTGAGACCTGTTTGACTGGTTTCTCCGCACTGAGGAGTTAAACCATAATGGAAGTGCCAGAGTGTGTTTTTGTTCTTGGGGTCAGTCTGGTATGAAAGCTAGAGTTGGCCTCTCCTGAAGAAAGGACAACCACCCTACACCCTACCTATCTTCTCCTAACACACACACACACACACGATGCACACTTGCACTCACATGCACACACAAACCCACACCTACATACCACACACCTCCCCTACCCACCACTCACCTACAAACATACACAAAAACACATGTGCACACAGCTACTGCACAAGGCAGTCCCATGACTGATGGTAACTCTCCCTTTCCTGCCTCTGGGGACTGGTGCAGCCACCTTACAGAGGTTTCTATCCTTCCTACAAGTGAAGATGTCTTCAATCCTCCTCAATGAAAGAGACCCCCTTTCTCCTCCAAAGTAGCAGGGACAGTTGTTGTCTTCATGAGGAGCTCAGCTGAGAGGCGAGGGAGAGGGCAGGAGAACCCACCTCCCGCACTCAATCACAAGGCACCATCTCTCTGCGATGCCCCCACTTCCTCTGTGCTGATCATGGCTTTCTCTTTCTTACCTGGTCCCTGTCTCCCTCTCTGTAAACCTCACTCAGCCTCTCCCTCTGCTGCAGTTCTTCCCAGCCTTCTGCAGCTCTCTTAGACCCCTGGCACACTGCTTGGGAGCAGCCGCCACGTGAGGTCTGGCTGGGGCATCTTCCTTCCCCTCACCGCTCTGCTGGGTTTGCTTCTCTTGTGGTCCCTGGGTTGGGGGAGCTCAGCTGTGGGACATAAAGCCAGTGGCTGAGCACCCCAGCTTCAGGCTCCTCATGGGGTGGAGGATGGACGATGCCCTTGGCCCCTGCATTACACAGGGATATGCGCAGAAGGCATCACCTGGCAGTGCACCTTAGCTAGAAAGAAGGTGTTTCTCCCTCCTCAAAGCCAGGCTCCGCACCCAACTGCTGTGCTAAACCAGCCAAGGCAGAGGGGCTTGATGACAAATGTCATCTTGTCCCCTTTTGGGAGCCCCCATTTGGGCTGTGCCAGGCCCTCTGTGGTGCGGGTCACTCGTGCATGACTGTCCTTGGTGTCCCTAGCGGTGACCCCAAAGGAGGGGAGTGCAACCTTCAACCACAGAGGCTGAGCCAAGGCAGCTGATGGCTCGCATACTGCGACGGGAGGCTGTGGGGAGGATGGAAAAAATAATCTCTGTGCTGGTACATGCCCTGAAAAGATTTTGTGTTAGGGAGGAAACGACCCCCAGCTGGGGAACACCCAGCGAGAAGTCAGGGAACTGTCCCTATGGGACACTGCGAGAGAATAGTGACCATCGTCCTGTCTTGTGATGAGACAGCCTGAGGCTTTTTCTAAACAGATGCTTCTGCTCTGACTGGAACTGCCTCTGTTTGGAGCTGACACTGAAAAGTCAGCAAACGCTCTGAGCCTTGGCTTGAACTGAATTGAATTGATTTTTTTCAGTTCAATCGAGAGAGGTAGAATCACAAAACTGTGAGATACCCTTCAAGCAGATGTTTTCCCAAGGGTTGCTTTACCTCGAACATGAACCAGCTTGTTACTGACCATGAGGTTTATCGTAGGATAATAACACCTGCCGCTGGCTCTGTACTTAATGCTCGAACCCCACCCGATCTGATCAGATACGGTGGGTGCATCATCCTAGTTTATGGATGAGGATATGGAGACACAGGTTTCCACATCACTGGCGAAACTGGAAGCTCGAGTCTCCTAATATTGTTTGCAAAGTAGGATTTTAAAAAAAGCCCCGAGGGGTTGGGAGGTGTTTGTCTGGGAAAAATGATATGAAATTTTTCCCATTTTTGTCTGGGAAAAATGATACCTGAGAAAAATGATATGAATAATTATTAAGCATCTGGATTTTAATCACCAGGTCCCATCAACAAGATGAGAAGGAAAGGAAATTGCAAATACAGATTTAAGTCCTCAGGTATTCTTTAAGGAGATAAAACAAGGAGCTGGGCTGAATCCAGCTATTCAGAGTCCCACCCTCCCCAGGCCCTCACCAGGCAGGATGCCCCTCTGTCCTCATGTGGCTGGACCGACATTCTCCACCCCAAACCGGTTGTCAGTTTCATTGAGAAATTGATTACTCAATATTTATTGAGGCCTCTGTATTATTCCACCACTGAGGTGAGCTAGAAAATCTTCAAGACATCTTTATAAAATGAGTTAGACAACTGGGCCCCTCCTCTCTGCAGCTCTTTCTATGCTAGATCCCCCTGAACTCTGGTGGGGTGACCCCCTTGCTTCCCTCCTCCCTGCTGACCATGACCTTCCCTTTTTCACTGGGTCCTGGGAGCTCCTTCTCTGCAAACCTCAGCCTCTTCCTCTGTTGCAGCTCTTCTGAGCCCTTCCCAACCTCCCTCTGGCCCCTCCCCACCCTCCCTCTGGCCCCTCACACACAGCTCAGGGAGCAGCCGCCACACCAGGGCTGGCTGGGGCAGCTTCCCTCCTCTCACTGCTCTGGGTTTGCCCCTCACGTGGCCCTGGGGGACTGAGCTGTGGGTCATGGAGTGAGTGGCTGGGCACCCCAGCCTCTGGCTTCCGAGCCTGTGAAGCACTGAGGGGCTGGGAGGTGTTTGTCTGGCTGCACTTTAGGGGAGGAGAGTATACTTGGTCTATGTGACGGGCTGAACAGGAGGGAGGTGGGATGTATTAACTTTCTCAGGAGAATGAAGGAGTTTGTTCCCTATGTACGAGCAGGGGCTGGGGAGAGGAATAGGAATCTATGGAGCTCGGAGGGGGCATTTTTGAGAAAGTCGTCTTGGGGACTCCAAGGCAAATGTCCCTTCACAACTGTAGGTCACATTGATGGAAGGACTTGGGGATGGTCTCCCTAAAGCTTAGCTGTTGCTCTAAGAGCTGCTCAAGGCAGTGGGCCTGGGGATTTCCTTCCAGAGAACAGATCAGACCGAGGGCCCCAGTAGGTTCCCAACACTTAGTAAAACCACGAAGAGGGCCAAGTTTGGGGCAGCTGCCGGCTCTGCCTCCTCCTGCTCCTGCCTGCACCTCTGGGGTGTGCTGGGCACTGAGGTCCCCATGTCTTACTGCAGCAAGGCTCCACCTGCAGCCATTTGACCCCCTGTAAATGGAACAGCTGCCACTCAGTTCCCCGGAGGCAGGGAGCTGTACGGGGAACCTTGGACTTGGCAATGGAACTGAATTCTGGGAATCTCTGAGCTCGAAGGGAGTATCTGGGAAGACTGGAAAAAAAGTATTCTGGGAAAAAAAGTTTTTCCCTCTCTTCTGAAATCACACACCATGTGCACTTGACAAACAACGTCTCAGCACCAGCTATGGCTCTGAAGGCAGCCCTGGTCCCTAGTTTCCTTGAGGTTAAAGGCAGCGAGCCCCATCCTCTGTCTCTAGACCCTTGACTGTTCCCTGGCAGAATCAATGCTACCACCCACTTCCCTTCCACCAGGCCCAATCTCAGGGCAAGAGCTAGGCATTAGCTCCGGAGAGAGGGGTGTGGAAATGCCAAACACTGGGGCCCGCTGCACCCCTGAGGGAGATCTCTTCAAGCCCTCTCCCTCTCCAGGCTGGGCCTTTGTGAAGATGGAGAAGCTGTCTTGAACCCCTTGGCTTGCTCAGAATCTCTGTGAATCAGCTGCAGGGGAAACTGGGCCCTGGGCAGAATGTTCCTGGAGGGAAGTGGTTGCTGTCAAGGCCAGGAGGGGTTGGCAGGCTAGCCATCCCATTCCCCAACCCCATGCCAGTTCCTGGGCACCTAAGAGCCCTCCCACTCCCATTCCTGCATTTCCTGTCTGCTGCTGATCTGTTCCTCCCTGGGAGGAGTCTCTCACCCCCAGGCATTTGGAGGGTGGGGAGCCTTCCTCCACCCTTTGTTCTGACTGCAGAAAAGGAGGGGGTTCCCATGCCAAGCCAGGCTGCCTGGGACAGACGCTGCCATAGATCACTGCGGCCGCCTGCACTCTGGACCACAAGCTCTGAGAGCAGCAGGTGAGGGCCGGTGGGCAGCAGCTTGGAGGCTCCTCGAGGTGCAGGGACGCAGGCATGGCTGGTGAGCTGACTGCTGAGCAGGTGGCCAACTACAAGCAGGCCTTTTCTGCGGTCGACACGGATGGAAACGGCTCTATCAATGCCCAGGAGCTGGGCGCCGCGATGAAGGCCCTGGGCCACAATCTCACGGAGGGCCAGCTAAAGGAGTTCATCTCCAAATTGGACAGCGACGGCGACGGCGAAATCAGCTTCCCAGAGTTCCTGGAGGCGGTGAAGAAGTTCAAGATCGGCCTGGAGGACCTGCAGGCCGCCTTCCGAGCCTTCGACCTGGATGGCGACGGCCACATCACCGTGGACGAGCTCAAGCAGGCCATGGAGAAGCTGGGGGAGCAGCTGTCGCAGGAGGAGCTGCATGCCATGATCCGCGAGGCCGACGTGGACCAGGATGGGCGTGTGAACTATGAGGAGTTCGCAAGGATGCTCTCCCAGAAGTGAGGCTTCCCACTTCGTTCTGCCCCGCCCGGTGGCCCGCTGCCCTCTGAGCCTTTGTGGCCGCCTGCTTCTGCTGCTTTTGTGCTGGGACTTTTCCAGGGAAGCCTGGTTGGTGGATGGGAAACTGCCTCCCCCTTGGAGGAAGGCTTTGCGCTCTGGGGCCTGATGTGGCACCCTTGGGCCTTCTGCAAGCCCCTTTCTGCTTCCAGACCTTGGGCAGAAGGCAGCCTCCCTGGGCCTTGTCCCTCTTTGCCCTGCAGTGGAATGGGGCTCCCCAGCTCAGGGCTGCCCTGAGGGTCCCTCAGCCCTGCAATGTTCTAAATAAAGGACTGCTGTGTCCCACGTGTGCTTGGGGTTTGTCGGGGGAGGCCTCCGAGGGCCCCCACCTGCTTCCAGGGCTCCTTCCAGCCCACCCCCTCCCAGCCGACCCCTCTCACCTGCAGTGGGAGAACTGCCTGGACAGGCCCCAGGGGCAGGTCCTGCCTCCCCTGACTTAGAGCAGAGGGCAGGTGGGTAGGGGATGTGCCTCTGGCTCCAGGCTCTGCCTGAGCTGCTGGTGAGGACCTGGGCACATGTCCTGCACAAACAGGAGCCCTGCGCCTCGCATGGACAGACCCAGCCCAGCTGCCACCCTCTGCACGCAGCCTACCTCTCTCGGGCTGCAAATAAAATACGTGTATGTCTGTGTGTACATCTGTGTGTGCGTGTTTGTGGGTCTGTATGTGTGTCTATGTGTAAATCTCTGTATGTTTATGTGTCTGTGTGTGCTTATGTGCATCTGTGTGTGTCTGTGTATGTTTGCATCTCTGTGTCTGTGTGCATCTGTGTCTGTGTGTGTCTATGTGTTTATCTGTGTTTGTGTGTTTGTGTTTGTGTCTGTGTATGTATGTCTGTGTGGCTCTGTGTGTGTCTGTATGTGTGTCTATGTATGTCCTTGTGTCTATGTGTGTGCCTGCATGTGTATCTGTGTGTCTGTATGTGTATGTGTCTGTGTATGACTATGTCTGTGTATGTGTGTCTCTGTGTGTCTGTGTGTCCGTGAGTCTATGTGTGCCTGTGTGTGTATCTGTCTGTGTGTGTCTGTGTGTGCTCATCTGTGTCTGTGTGTGCACCTGTGTATGTATGTGTGTGTCTGTGTATGTGTATGTGTCTATTTGTGTGTCTGTGTATCTTTGTGTGTGTCTGTGATGGTGTGTGTCTGTGTGTGTCAGCCTATCTGTGTCAGTGTGTCTGTGAGTCTGTGTGTGTCTATGTGTGCATCTGTGTGTGCGTCTGGTGTGCCTGTGTGTCTCTGTGTATCTTTGTGTGTGTCTGTGTGTGTATGTCTGTGTGTGAAGGTGTGTGTGTCTGTGTGAGTCTGTGTGTGTATCTCTGTGTGTCTGTATGTGTATCTGTGAGTCTGTGTGTGTTTGCATGTGTCTGTGTATCTTTGTGTGTGTGAAGGTGTGTGTCCGTGTGTCTTTGAGTCTGTGTGCATGTCTCTGAGTGTGTCTCTGTGTTTGTGAGTCTGTGTCTGTGTGTCTCTGTGTTTCTGTGTGTGTATATCTGTGAGTCTGTGTATCTGTGAGTCTGTGTGTGTCTGTGTGTCTGTGAGTCTGTGTGTCTGTCTCTGTGTGTCTGTGTGTATCTGTGAGTCTGTGTGTATCTGTGAGTCTGTGTGTGTGTCTGTGTGTGTCTCTGTGTATCTGTGTGTGTATCTGTGAGTCTCTGTGTCTGTGCATGTCTGTGTGTGTGTCTGTGTGTCTCTGTGTGTCTATGTGTGTTTCTGTGTGTGTATCTGTGAGTCTGTGTGTGTGTCTGTGCATGTCTATGTGTCTGTGTGTGAAAGTGTATGTGTCTGTGAGCCTATGTGTGCATCTGTCTCTGTGTGTGAGTCTGTGTGTCTGTGCATGTCTGTGTGTGTGTGTCTCTGTGTGTCTAGGTGTGTTTCTGTGTGTGTGCATCTCTGTGGGTTAGGGTTGGGGGAGGTGGGGAAAGGGCAGAGCAAGAAGGAGGAGGAGCAGGGTGAGCAGTCTGGACCCTCCATCCTGGCAGTGCACAGCCCTGTGTGGACTTGGGTTGTGTTGGTGCTGTGGGGTTTAGAAACGAGACCTGGGCTCATCACAGCCCTGGGTTCCTGGGGCTCCCTTTGTCCTGGGTCTCAGATGGTCAGACCCACATGCCTTGCTTGGCAGATGTGGAAACTGAAGCCCCATGTGGGTACAAGAGCAGCAAAGGCCAACTTACGGCAGTGGTGGGTGAAATTGGGCTGCAGGGAGGTGTCGGGCCCTGGCCTCGGAGTCAGGACTCGTTACCTTCCCACCTGCAGTGCTCCTTGGCACAGCTGTGGGCGCACACCTGTGGAGGAGCATGGTGGGCCTGTACACTTTATCCCAACTTCAGCACAAAGCCTGGGAGCCAGGGGTGGCCCGGGGCATTGAGGTGGCACCTGGGCGTTTTCAGGAGTCACCATAGTCTCTTGCAATCACTCATGGTGACCTGTTCCTCCCAGCCCTGTGCTCGGAGCCTGGCCAGTGCCCTCCAGGGCCTTCCAGCCTCAGGGCTGAGGCCAGACCTTCCCTCCTCTGCCTGGGCTGTGGGCAGGGCACACCTAGGGCTGTGGAGAGGAGAGGGGGACACCCCAGTATCCTCCCTCAGGGCTCTGAACAGGAGGGACTGTGGAGGGGGGCGAAGAGAGAAGATGCGGAGGTGAGAGTGGGATGGAGCAGAGGCAGCCTCAGACCTGCCTGGTGACCTGGCTGAGCAGGAGGCCCCGGCAAAGTCCATGCCTATCCTTGCTGCACATGGGCTCCTCCAGGAAAGCCCCATCCTCTTAGGAATGCCGTCACCAAAGTCTCATTTCTGAAGTGGGGATTCCTCAGTGCCAAGCTGGTCAAGAGGAGATTTCCCAGGGTCTGTAGAGAAAAATAAAATAAAATAACAAAAGAAAAATAAAGCCTTTTTGTTCACTTTTTTTTTTTTTTTAAATGGAGTTGTGTTCTGTCACCAGGCTGGAGTGCAGTGGTGTGATCTCAGCTCACTGCAACTTCCGCCTCCCAGGTTCAAGTGATTTTCCTGCCTCAGCCTCCTGAGTATCTGGGTTTACAGGTGCATGCCACCATGCCCAGCTAATTTTTATATTTTTAGTAGAGATAGGATTTCACCATGTTGGTCAGGTTGGTCCCGAACTCCTGATCTCATGATCTGCCTGCCTTGGCCTCTCAAAGTGCTGGGATTACAGGTGTGAACCACAGCACCTGGCCATGTTCACTTCAAACCCAAAACAAAGAAGGCATTTCCCACTCCCCACCCCCACCTTCTTCAGTCAGACAGAGATGGAGTCTCGCTCTGTTGCCCAGCCTGGAGTGCGGTGGTGCAATCAGGGCTCACTGCAACCTCCACCTCCCAGGTTCAAGCAATTCTCCTGCCTCAGCCTCCTGAGTAGCTGGGATTACAGGTGTGCACCAGCACACCTGGCCAAGGTTTTTTGTATTTTTAGTAGAGATGGGGTTTTGCCATGTTGGCCAGGCTGGTCTTGAACTCTTGACCTCAGGTGATCCACCCACCTTGGCCTCCCAAAGTGCTGAGATTATAGGCACAAGCCTGTGCCTGGCCAAAGAAGATGTTTTCTGCCATAGTGTTAGCACTGTAGGGGCAGCACGTACATCCAGATTTGTCATGATGGTTAGATCTGGGCTCTCTTTGCAACAGTGGACCAAGATGCAACCTTTGAGAAGAAGATACGCTGGAATGGCAGTTCCTGGGTCTCAGGAAGGAAGCCTCTGCCCTCAGAAACACGGTCCTGTTGCCGTCTCTGCTGGCTATGGAGGTGTCTGCTGGCTCTTCCATCCCCTCTCTGTCCACTGACTTAGAAAAGGAGTCAGTCCCGCATGTAAGGGAGCAGGCGAGAGAAAGCAGCTCGGGTTGATTTCCTGCTGGAGGAGTAGCCAGGAGACCAGGCCTGGGGACCTGCAGTTTGGACCACACCAGGTTAGCCAGGCTGGTCTCCAGCTCCTGACCTCAGGTGATCTGCCTCCCAAAGTGCTGGGATTACAGGAAGGCGTGATTGACTTTTACTGGGGGATCTTTTAGTGGGGCAAGGAGGAGGGTTGTAGAGGAAAGGGTGACCTTCCCTACAGAAAAGGCCCCAGGCATTGCACAGGATGCCAGACTGAAGAAGGCTCATCAGGATACCAGACTAAAGAAGGCATCCTGTGCAATCCCTGGGGCCTTCTCTGCAGGGAAGGCCATCCTCTAACCCTGGGCAATCTGCACATTCCTCACTGACAATGCTTACCTGTTTCTAGATAAACAGCAGTTTCTCCATATTTTTTTCTCCCTCAGACTCAGCCTGGAGCCCTTCGGGCATGCAGCTTGCAGGGCAGTTCCTAAATCCTGTCCCTCGAGGGTGTCACCTTCGGCACCCAGAACTGTTGAAGAAACCGGGCTACTCCTCCCTCAATGAATGTTTGCTGGAGGAGGGACCCCCTTGGCCTCCCTGGATGCCCCTGGAGTCTGACCAGAGGCAAGAAGCCTGAAGATGAGAGGAGAGGGTAGGAGGGAGGT